AGACACTCTCCCGAACTTCTGGCAGCTTATTTGGCCAATGCCGGCGTGCTTCCTGCATTTCTGGTTTTGGGGTGGCGTTTTCGCGCCCCCAGAATCATCAAGCAAATAACTTATTCTGAGATGAAGAGCTGCCTCGTGAAAGTGGTCGAGCTTCTGGGACCCGCGGATTGCAAAATCATATCGTCGGGTGCTCGCTTCCCACCCCCTTCCAGACCTTCGGAGGGTTTTTGGCAATGTTCTAGTTCCAGGGACCCTCACAGGGCTTCAATTTCTTTCTGGCACTCAACTTGGGGCTCCCCCCAGCCCCTCCTCAAGATACCCCTGCTCCCCCTTCTCCTCCCCATCCTCCTCTCCCTCTATACCCCCTGCTCCACTGCCTCTCCATCCTCCACCTCCGATTCGTCATCCCACGCCGCCTCTTCGCCCCGCTCGTTCACATCCTGGCCCCCCATGTCTCAAGCGCTGTCTCGAAGATCAGCAGCAATCCCAGCACGAGCACCCTGCGTCGCTGTGGCACGCGTCGGCGCCAATCATCTGCTCCGACTCTTGCTCGTCCCTCTCGCCATCCGCCGCCACTTCCTCCTCCTCCTCATCTTCCTCCTCCTCCTCTAACTACATCCTTGCCTTTTTCCCCCGCTTCCTCCGACATCTCGCGTGCTGGGATACGTCGACGACGATGGCGAGCTCACCCGAGCGTGCCCTGTTTTTTTTATCAGTCTAGTCGGGATGAGACGAATCGCTTGCGACGTGGACGCATCATCCTCTTCCTCATGCTGCCCCAGATCCCATTTCCGCCTCCCTCCTCCCCCCGCCCCTCCTCATCGCCGCTCCTCACCGCCTGCTTGCGGCAGGCGCACGGCCACGTAATTGAGAGCCGGCGCCAGAACTTCAGTATCGTTCCCAAGGCTCTGCTATCAGCGGACCGACATAGGATTCGGAAGCTCTTGCCACTGGTCATCTTTCCCCTCTCCTCCTCAACATCCTGTCCTCCTCTCCTCCGCCATCTCCTCTTCTCGTCCTTTCGACACTGTAGCCTCCTTTCGACTGCCATCTCCTTATTCCTCGTGTTTCTCATCAACTTAGTTGTTCCACCCAGGTCTCCTCCTCCTTCTCCTCCTCCTCCTCCTCCTCCTCCTCCTCCTCCTCCCCCTCCATCTCCTCCTCCTCCTCCTCCTCCTCCTCCTCCTTCTCCTCCTCCTTCTCCTCCTGCTCCCCCCGATTGGAAGTGCGCCAGGAGATGAATACCCTTGACTGCGCCGCACCCCCGCCGCAGACGCCTATCCCGGCGCCGCGGGGCCGCGGTCAAACTTGGGGAGGAGGACGAGGAGGAGGAGGAGAAGAGACAAATGAGTTGGGAGGGACACGAACCGACGAATGATGAGGAGGTTGAAAAGGAGGCAAGTCGGTTTGATGAGGAGAAGGAGGAAGGATGAGGAGGAGGGAGGATGGATGAGCAGGAGGAGGAGCGCCCAGAGAAGTCATAGAAATACTGTGGGAGGATGATGAGGAGGATGAGGCAGAAGATGAGGCAGAGAAAGAGGAGGGGGAGGAGGAGGAGGAGGAGGAGGAGGAGGAGGAGGAGGAGGAGGACGGAGCAGACGGAGCAGACGGAGGAGTAGGCGGTGGAGAGGGGAAGGCACAGGGAGGGCACAGAGAGGACGAGTAGGAGTAGGAGAAGGTGCAGAGGAGTGGGAGGGGGAGGAGGGGCATCGACAGGAAGAGGGCGATTTGGAGGATGAAGAGAAAGAGGATGAGGCCGCATCGATTGGGATGATTGTCCTCGTGGATTTCAAAGCCGCATTTCCAAGCGTGTCGCATCGATTCATGCGACTGTGCTTGGACGGCCTCGGCATGCCGAGCGAAGCCCTCAGGGTGCTGGATGCGTTTTACGACGGCGGACGTTGCTCGATCTCGGTCGGCGGTGGGCGGTGGCCGGGCTTCGACATGCAGTCGGGCATCAGGCAAGGCTGCCCGCTGTCTCCTCTGATCTTCGCCACTGTCATGGACCTGCTGCTCCGCATTCTGCCCCTGAGGATCGAGGGCGTCGTCGTCCGAGCTTTTGCCGAAGACATCGGGATCGTGCTCCAGGATGCTCCGAGACAGTTGCCGATCCTCCAACAAACCCTTCATGAGTTTGGTTTGCTCTCCGGCATGGAAGTTAACCTCCCGAAGACCGTGGGCATCCCGCTCTGGGAAGAGCCACTGAGCGACGCCTCTGCGCGCGTAGCAGCCGCTTGCCCCGCTTGGAGACAGCTGCCGCTCCGTCGTTCAGCGACGTATCTGGGCTGCGTCACAGGGCCAGAGAAGACGAGCAGCATTTGGGACACCGCGTGCCAGCGATTCCAGGAACGAGTTGCAGGGTGGTCGTGGAGCGAGATGGGCCTGCACTTTGCGATACTTGCGTACAACGTCTACGCGCTCCCAGTGCTGGCGTTCACGGCGCAGATCGCGGCCCCCGACGGGAAGGTGCTCGACTTGGAGGAATGGGCGCTGAGACGTGCGGCGCCGGGACCTGGAAATTGGGCCACTCCGAACGACCTCTGGCACATTGGGGTCCACTACGGCATGCCGCACTCGTTTGGCCGCCTGGAGAATGTCGCACGTGCGTCGCACCTCCGGGTCGCGCACCGGGAGAACGCGGAGCACGGTGGTTTGCTGCTACGTCAGCGCGCCCGAGAACTCCTTGAGGCAGTGCTCGGCTCAGAGTACGACCAGAGGAGGGCGCAATGGTCGGCCTGGCTAAAGGCGGCCATCCCTGCAGTGCTGACAAAGTCACTCGACCACCTCGCCGCCATGGGCGTGACTGCGGACGCCGTAGAAGAAGCGGCAGGCCGAGCGAGCCGCCCGTTTCAAGCTGTCGCACGGGAACGGATCAGCCAGGCGGAGGCGCAGAACCCGCATTCCCGTATCCGGCACAAGCTGAGCAGATGGCAGTTGCTGGGGGTCCCGCGTCAGCTCGCAGATGCATTCCAGACCAGCTTGGGGCGGCTGCGGCGACTGGTGCCGCCCAGGGTGGTGGCGGCTGTGTTCAGTACTGCCTGGAATCGGTGGTGCACTTCCAGGAGATTTCAGCAACGGGACGACGCAGGCAACGTTTGTCGGCTGGGTTGTGGCGGCGGCGCAGAAGATAGCATTGAGCATTATTCGAGATGCAGAGTCACGCGCCGCTTCCATGCGACATCGCTCCGCATATATTCGGAGTCGCTGCTGCCATATTGGTTGGGAGTCCACGCCGGCCGGCAGGACGGCGATCTGCTCGCCAAGGGGGCGCTGGGCGCCTACGCGGCCTACCGCGCGACCAATGCGACCCGATCTACTGGGACGTTGACCGCAGCTGCGGCTGGGAGGGCGCTGCAACAGGCCCTACGGGAGGCGGCAACAGGACACAGAACTTCTGAGCGGTGCCTTGCCAGAATCTGGGCATGACGCCTAGATGCCCCCCTCCCCGCGTTTCCTCTCTTCTGCCTCCTTTTTTTTTTCTCGGTACGGCGCTTGCGCGCTGGCCCAAGCCTGCTGGATGGTTTCCGGCCGCGGAGGGCCCACGGCGCTCGACGAGAATTCGCAGCTCCCCCCTGGCTGGCCGCCAGTTGGCGCCAGCCGCAAGCTCCCCCCCTGGGGGCCCCACGCCTTGGGGGGGCAGGGGACCGCCCTTTCCCTCCCCCTTCCCCTCTTCCTGCCCCCTTCCCCTCTTCCTGCCCCTGTCCTCCTCCTCCTTCTCCGCCTCCTCCTCCTCCCCCTCCTTCTCCTCCCCCTCGTCCTCCTCCCCCGTCGTCGTCGTCGTCGTCGGTGGTCGTCGTCGTTGTCGTCGTCGTCGTCGTCGTCGTCGTCGTCGTCGTCGTTGTCGTCGTCGGCGTCGTCGTCGTCGTGGGGCTGTCCCTCGCCTTCCTCGGGCTTGTGGCCCCCCACGGGGGTGGCGTTGAGGCAGCGGCTTCCAATTTCAACCAGCCCTCCGGGCGCTCGAGTTGAGCGCGCAAGGAGACCAGCGCGATCAGCGCGTCCCATTTCGGCCGGCAGGAGGCTTGGAGGCCAGAGCGCTCATCGTGAGCGGCTGTCGAGGCCCCGGGCGCTCGAGTTGAGCGTGCAGTCGCCCTCCCCCCCCTTCCTCCGTCCCCCCTCCGTCCCTCCTCGCCTCGTCCCTCCCCCTCCGTGTCGTGCTGCCGTCTTCTGATCCGCGCTGTAGGCCTGATCTGGTCTCTGGGCGGCTGTGGAGGCCCCGAGCGCCCGAGTTGAGCGTGCAGTCGCCCTCCCCCCCCTCCTTCCTCCGTCCTCCGTCCTCGCCTCGTCCCTTGCCTCCCGAATCGAGCTGCCGTCTTCTGATCAGCGCCGTAGGTCTGATCTGGTCTCTGGGCGGCTGTGGAGGCCCCAAGCGCTGGAGTGGATCGTGCTATCCCTCCGTCCCTCTTGTGCGTGCGTTGTGGTCGATGTTGTTGTCCGCTCGTTTTTAGTAATTTGGGGTGAGTCTTGCATTGCTGTTCATCTGCGTCCACTGTGTGATTTCCCCCGTTGCATGGCCTGCCAGCTTGCGGACCGCCCGGCCCTGGAGCGCAGGCACTCGCCTCTCTGCCGAGTGCTTCGCCCTTCAGGTTCCGTAGGCTCTGTTCGGCCCGCCTCGAGGTCGCTGGCGTGCTTCTTCCGCCCTTCTCCTCCCTGCTCCTTCTCCCCCTTCCCCTCCTCCGTGGCGTGTGTGTTCCGGCATGTTGTGGCGAGCGTCTTCTGGTGCCTCCAGGTGCGTGGCCCCACTCAGCCGCGAGGGCACGGTCCCCGCACAATTATTTACATCGAGTTCCGACTATAGTTTGTGACATCGCGTGTATCCTCATACAGGTACCGCCTTGCGCATTATACATTCCGCCTGTTGCATTGTACGCTGGCCGCTCGTGGTCCTGGCTCCTCTGCTTCGGCATTGAGGCTCTCTGCAGGTTTTTGATTTGCGTCTTCTCCGCCTTCCTCGTTCGCCCTCCTCCACACTTGCGTTGGGCACCAGTAAGAGTTCCGCCAGGATGTACTGGTACGGAGTACGCACGCGCGAGTTTAACTGTCTGCCGCGATTTCATTGAGGCATTCGCGCGACGCGGGAATTGGCTTTTACAGTAGTCTTTCTCCGCATGTTTCACTTCGGCGGTAGTCGCAGATTGCACCGAGTGGGACGAGGTGTGTGTTGCTCATCGATGGTTCGCCGCCTCCCCTCTGCCTTCCCTCTCCCTCTCCAAAAAAAATGAAGAGAAAGAGGATGAGGATGAGGAGGGTAAGGAGGAGGGGGAGTAATTGACGGAAGCTGGAGAAAGAGAAGGAGGTGGAGGAGAAGGGGGAGGGATGAGAAGGCGGAAGAGGAATAACTCGAAGAATACTGGAGTATGGAAGCGATGGCGATGATGATCACATTGATGCTGCTGTTGATGCTGATGATGACGATGATGCTGACGATGATGCTGATGATGCTGATGATGGTGTTGATGATGATGATGATGCTGATGATGATGAGGAGGATGTTGATGCTGGTGTTGATGATGCTGATGATGATAATGATGATGATAATGCTGACGATGGTGACGGTGGTGTTGTTGATGATGATGTTGTTGTTGATGAGGCTGTTGCTGATGATGACGATATTGATACTGATACTGACGACGCTGATGAGTATGCATATGATGATGTTGCTGATGATGAGGCTGATCCGTATCATGGTGATGATGATGTTGGTGATGATGATGGCGATGATGATAATGTTGATGGTGATTGTGATGCAGATTCTGATGTTGATGATGTTGATGCTGTTGATGCTGGTGTTGATGATGATACTGATGCTGCTGATGATGATGAAGAAGAAGAAGACGGAGGAGGAGGAGGAGGAGGAGGAGGAGGAGGAGGAGGAAGAAGAGGAGGAGGAGAAGGGGGAGGAGGATGATAAAAAGGGGCCTCTGTGCGGGCCCAGATTCATGGTAGCCTGGCTTATCGGGCTCCCTCGTCCCCCCCCACCCCCACCCCTCTGCCGTCCCTATCCCTTTCAGTTCTCCCAAGCCTCCTCCCCTCCTCCCTCCCCCCCCCTCCCCCTCTCCCTCCTCCCTCCCTCCCACCCCCCTCTGCCTCGTCCCTCCCTCCCTCCCGTCCTCCATGCCTCCCAACCCTTGGACCATAAGAGGCATGAGGAGGGGGCCGGAGGAGAAGAACTGGGAGGAAAGGGAGGAGGCGGAGGAGGATGGCAGGACGAAGAGGAGAATGACAAGGGTGAGGAGGATGAGGGAAAGGAATAGGTTGACACGGAGGAGGAGCAGGGAGGCGGAGGACAACGAGGACAATGCGGAGGAGCAGGTCGAGGGACGGGGAGGGGGATGCGGCAGAGGAGGAACACGTGGCGGATGATAAGAGCCAGGACCACGAGGGAGAGGCGCGGGAGGATAACGAGGACACGGGCCATGAGAGGAGGAAGAGGAGGAGGAGGAGGGAGGGAGGAGAGGAGGAGGAGGAGGAGGAGGAGGAGGGGAGGGGAGGAGGAGGAGGAGGAGGAGAGGAGGAGGAGAGGAGGAGGAGGAGGAGGAGGAGGAGTTGGACGAGGTGGAGCAGGAGGATGTCGAGGCCCCACCGCGCTCCGTCGCCCACCACGCCGACCACGCCCCCGTGCCCGTCCGCAGGAGATTGGGCTCCTGCCCAGGGGTGCAGGCGCTGCGCGGTCTCCTGGCAGGGGCTGCATCGTGTGGGCTACGCGAGAACGGATGACCGATTGCGAAGCTCGTCTCCTCCTCGTCTCCTCCTCGTCTCCTCCTCCTCCTCGTCTCCTCCTCCTCCTCGTCTGCTCCTCCTCCTCCTCCTCCTCCTCCTCCTCCTCCTCCTCGTCCTCGTCCTCGTCCTCCTCCTCCTCCTCCTCAGGCACGTGCGCGCAAGTTTCTCGCCAAGGTCGCGCGTCACCGAACGCCTGTCCGCCAGCTGCGTCGCGTCGGCAGCCTGTCGTCGCTCCCCCATGCGTGAGGCCCCAATTCCGGTGCAGCCGGCATGACTGCGTTGTCTTGCTGGCGACCGAGGGGCCCTCTCCCGACCAGATTCCCCGTGGGTCTGGAAGTATCCCGAGGTCCTTGAAGAACTTGGCGCGCTCCCGTCCCGCCCCCTTGAAGCACCACCAGAGTCCCAAATGCCCCAGACTTCGATTCCCGATGCTTTCCCCAGCGCTATGAAGCACGTGTTTTCGATTTGTGGGCGGCTTCGAGCTCTCGACCACTTCATGGTGATTTGCTTGTCATCCATCGTTTTTTGTGTGAGGGTCCTGGAGGCAGAAACTATCGAGTCGCTGCCTCACTGGCCCCGACACTTGTGAGGCCTGGGCCCCGCACTGAGAGTCCAGGGGTGCGCTCTGGCCAGAGCTTCGAAGCGGACCCAGCTGCGGCTTCGAGGGACCTTCCCGGAGGCCCAGGACGGGCCGGGCGTATCCAAAAAGATTGGTCTTCGAGCTGCGATCTTTGGCCACTGGTCCTCGAAGCCCCCATCTCGAACGAGGATGAGGAGGCCCGCCGCCGGCCCCAGGAGGCCGAAGGGAGCGCGAAGAACGCAGGCCAAGCTCGATCTCCGCCGAACGACCCAGACATCCGACGACGCTGTTGTTCAACCCGGAGGCCCTTCTCGGCGGCGAGCGAGGGGGGGAACGACAAGGAGAAGGCCTCCTGAGAAGGCGGCGGGACTTCTCCGAAGCCCTCGCGCCTTCTGGGCAGTTGTCCGCTTTCTTCGGTGAAGACTTAAGCAACTTCTCAGAGGGCCGGGGAACTTCCGAGCCTTCTGAGAAGGCCCGCCCCTTCCCGCTCCCCCCCCTCGCTCGCCGCCGACCCATGTGGGCTGGACCTCATCTCCGTGGGGTACACGCGTAACCTCCCCGATCAGTTCCCGAGCGCCCCTCGGCTTGGAAACGGCCGCCATGGGAATCAAAAGTCCCTGGCACCCCCCGGGCGTGTGCGTTGTTCCTCGGCGCGGACCCTCGAGGAGCAGCCCGGAGCACGTGGCGACGACCAGCGGACCGTGCACGGGGAGTGGGCGCCCGAGCGACGGCCAGAGGCGCGGCAGTCCCTCCGTGGGCCTCTCGGGACGCGAGAGAGGCGGCCCGTCCAGCCCGCCGCGGCCTGGCCGCGACGCCGCAGGCGATCCGCCGAGCGCCGCCGGGCTTGGCGGGCGCCGAGCGCCTGGAGGCATCCCGGCCACCTCGCTGCCGCTCCTCCTCTTCGGGTGCTGCCAGAAGTAGCTGCCCCTTGCCCCAAGGTGCCCCCCCGGATGCTCGGGGCGGCCCAGACGGCCTCCCGAGCACCCCATCACGAGGCCCAGAGGGCCCCAGGGCCCCCAAAGTGGAGCGAGAAGCTGGGGGCACCGTGGGCCAGGGGCACCTCTAGCAACACCCGATCTCTCTCTTTTTTTTTTTTTCTCTCTCTCTCTCTCACACTCTCTCTCTCTCTCTCCTTCTCTCTCCCTCCGGCTCTTTCTGGAAGAGGCTGGGGCCTTTGCGCCGACCCCCAGAAGAGGCACGAGGTCGACGGGTGAGGCCTTCTGGGGGGACCCTTGGTGACCCTCTGGGGGCATCGTTTTGCTCTCTTGGGAGCCTCTTCGGGCCGCTCCTCGCTTTCTCTCTCTCTCTCTCTCTTTCTCTCGTTCTGGTTCTTTATCCCCATGTTTCGTTCTCCTTCTGTCTGACGGCGACGACAACGACGGCGGCGCCTAGGACAGACAGAGTCCCTTGCCTTCCCCAGCTTTCCCTCGCGTTGTCTCTCCCTATTGTCTTGTGTCTTGGATGGCATGTGTATCTCGTCATTGTTGTTTTCTATATATATATATATATACACGTGGATCTATCTCTCTATCTATTTGCTGTCGTTAGTGTTGTTATTGTATTCTCTCTCTATATATATATGGGTATGTATATATGTATATATAGTGTTATATCTCTGTATCTCTCCCTTCTCACTAGCTCCCTGTCTCTCATTATTTGTTTCTCTTTTATCTATGTGTATATATACATATATGTATATACTGTTTGTGGTATCTCTCTCTCTCTCTCTTTCCTTTGTTTGTTATACATCGGCATGTATATTGCCATTACTTGTTCCCGAATCAGACATTCATATATATATATATGATCATGCATTCGTGGGAGTGCTTTGCTTCTGCTTTGTCTATGTTCATATATGTGTCGATGACTCCGTGTGCCAACACGTAAGTGCCTCCTCCGCCCGACGTCTGTTGCCAGTTGGGCTCCGTCGCCCGGCTGTTTCAGAGCAATGGCTGGGCGCGGCTGGCCCTTGGGCCACGCGCCGTCGACGCCGCGCGGCGGCGGGCCGCGTCCAGCACCTGATTGTTGTGGGAAGCAGCTGGATGACGGCCGCACGCTGATGAGCGTCTTCAGCGGCAGCGCTGCGGTCAGCGCCTGTGCGGCATGACCAGCGTACCGCAACGATTGGCTTTGGCTCCGCTCAGCGAGCTGCTGCGAGAGGAACTTGGAGACCGTCGTCATCAGAGGCAACGCTGGGATCAGCGCTGGCGATGTGACACGGACGAGCCGCGACAGCAGGCTCCGACGCTGTCCAGCGAGCTGCCCAGCGGGCTGCCGCGAGAGGGAGCTGGTGACTATCGTCATCAGCTCGTTACAACGCTGGGGCCAGCGCCTGCGCTGCGAGACGAGCGGGGCGGGGCCGCCCGGCGAGCTGCTGTGGGAGGGAGTTGGTGACCAGCGCCATCTGCTGCAACACGGGGTCGGCGCCTGCGAGGCGAGACGGGCCAGCCGTGGTCACAGGTATCTGGCACCGAGCGGCGAGCTGCTGCGAGAGGAAGCTGGGCCGGGACCAGCGCCTGTGATGCAGGACGGACGAGCCGTGAAAGCGGGCCCCAGAGCGGGATCTGGCGCCGCTCGGTTGAACTGCTGCGTGAGGGAGCACGAGACCAACGTCATCAGTTACAACGCTAGGTTTAACGCCTGCGATGTGATAAGCCGTGGTAGCAAGTTCCGGCGCTGCTCAGCGAGCTGCTGCGGGAGGCAGTGGGAGAATGTCGTCATCAGCCAGAACACGGAAGTCATCGCTTGCGATGCGAAGCTGGGAGCCGTTGCAGCAGGCTCTGGCGCGGTTCAGCGAGCCGTTGCGAGGGCTCGAAACCAGCGCCATCAGCTACAGATGCCGACGTGCAGCGAAACCCAGACAGGTAAGCTGCACCGACGTCACTTGCGCGCGAGCGGCATGAGCGTGGCGCTCAGCCGCTGTGCACTGTTGCTGGGCTGTTCGCCAAGGTAGAACTCGGTCCATGGCAGTCTTGCATGAGGAGGGAGGCGTGGGAGTAAGGCGAGCAGCGGCCGAAGGAGGCCGCCGGTTGGCGTTTGTTCGCTAGTGCACGTGGCACTGGCCCAGACCTGGCTCTTGGGCTCTTTTGGGGGTGTCGGAAGGGAGCTGGCGCTAAGACCGTCTTGGGGGGGTCGGAAGCCCGAAACTGCAAGGACACAACAACCTATCAAACTCCTAGGGGGAATCGATGATTTGGGCCTCTACTAGCGCGGTTGGGGTTCCCATTGAGACCTTCTTGGGACGGCTCGCGAGCCTTTTGTGCCGTCGTGAGGCCATCTGAGATCGTCTTGTGGTGGCCTTCTTCGGACGCCTCGGGGTCCTGTTAGAACGTCTTGCGGCTCTCAGAGGATACGCTTGGGCCGTCTTGGTTTTCTCTGTCCTCTGGAACAGTCACGCGGAACGCCCCAGGAGCCATGCGGGGAAGTCCGTTTCTGGCGCGTCGGGGCCCCTGGACGAGCATTTTTAACACTCAACACAGAGAGCTCGAAGAGGCCTGACTCCACTTCATGTGTCGCAGTACGGTGGCGGGTAAGGCCCTTCTCTCTTTTTGCCAGTCCGCCTCCTATTCCTTCTGCGCCGCTCCTGCGCACGGATGGCTAGTGGGCAGAAGAGGGTAAAGAGAGGCAGCGGCGCTTCATCCTCCGCCGTGCCCTTCTCGCTGGTTGGTTTGGGCTTCGATATTTCTGGGCTCCTTGAGATCTCTGGGAGCTTCGGGTGGCTTCCAGAGGTCCTGTTGGAGACTTCCCATGCCGGGCCGTTGAACAGGTGAGCCCGGCTCGCCTGGCAGCACTCGGGGGCCTCCGGGGCGTGCCGAACGCGCAGGGCGGGTCGCCCGGTCTTGCGCGATACGCTGGCCGCTGACCCGATCAGCTTCCTGCCTCTGCCCCCGCCCTGGCCCGACTGCACTGGCGACGCGTGCGCTCGGCTGAAGGAGTGCACTGGCGCGTCCGCTCCCAGAGGGGACAGTGTCGCAGGCCAGCTCCTGGGCACTGCGTCGCAGGCCTGCTCCTGCGGCCGTGGGTCGAAGCATGCTGCACCCTTCGTTCTCTCCCGCTGGATCTGGCAATGTCCTGGATCGTGGGGTTCTGGACATAATGTCGTGAACGAGCTCGTGTGACGCACTACGGTGCCAGATGCCCAGAGACCGTCAATGCACATGGTAAGGATGCGCGCCTTTTCTATGGTACCCCCCTTGTGTCCTTGCCTCTGCGGCCCGTCCTTCCCTGTTTCTACTGGCTGGCCTCTCAGGGTACCCTGTGGCGGGTGGCCGTCCCTCGGCTGCGCGGCGGGGTGCTCCTCTAGGGGGCAGTTTTCAGGACGCGGGCTGCAAGGGCACCCTTGACCGTCCTTCGGCGCGTCGCCCGAAGGACGCTGGCCAAGCAGGGCTCCTTTTGCCGTCCTCGGGCGCGCCACCACTGCCCTCGGTCGCTTTCTCCTTCGCCGGCGGACGTTGCCTTAGGGACACGCGCCAGGCAGGGTACCTTTGGCCGTCCTTGGGCGCGCCGCCCCCGCCTTCGGCCGTCGCCTCGTTCGCGGGCGGACGTGGCCCTAAGGGCGCGGAGCAGAATGGGGCCCCTTGCGTGTCCTTGCGCGCGCAGCATGCGCCGCTTTACCAACGCGAACAGGTGCCCTTTGATGCTGGCGCCATGCCCAGAGGGACGCGGGGATTTTGAGGGCACCCTTGCGTCCTTGCGTTGTTTTTTTTGCTGTGGGCCCCGACGCCACTTCGGCAAGCACGGGGGCGGGCTGAGGTGCCCTTGCGCCCCTGGGATCTTGGTCGCCCGCCGCCCAACAAGTCCCAGCTTCGGCCTCCAATGGTCTTGCGTCCTTGCCACCCGTCCTTCCTATATACGTTTTCACTGTAGGGCCAGGCCCTGCCCGAGACAGGGCGTCAGACTGCCCTTGGAGGGGCTTGCCTCTCCAAGTGCAAATGGATCAACAGGGGGCCCTCGGGCTGGGTGTCGGCACAACGGAATCCAGGAGGGGTACTGATGAGGAGGGGTTTTTTCTCCCTCCCTTCATTCCCCACCCAACCTCCCTGCTTGCCCCTTTTCCCTTCATCGTCCCCTGATTATTACACCCATCCTTTGTCATGTTTTCATTCCCCGTTTTTTCTCCCAAGAGCCAGACCTTTCCGTCTTGCTGAATCTGTCGAGATTCGCTCGTCTGTCCACGATGGCCTTGATTCAGGGTAACCCATCGGGAGAGGATGAGGAGAAGGATAAGGCGAAGAGGGGAAGGGATGGAAGGCGAGAGGAGGGGGGAGACGGAATACTCAGGATGACAAGGAGGACCAGGACGGATACGGAAAGATAGACGGTGGTTTCAGAAAGGGGGAGGGAGGAGGAGGAGGAGGAGGCGGAGGAGGAGGAGGAGAAAGGAGGAGGAGGAGGAGAAGGGAGGAAGAGCAGGAGGAGGGAAGAGGGAGGAGGGAGGAAGAGAAGCAGCGGGACAAGAGGGGGGAGAGGTGAGCAGGGGAGGGAGGAAGTGGAGGGAAGGGAGTGGATAAGGATCGCAGGTGAGGGTGTGAGATCGCAGTGAAGCGGAGAGCCCCCCCACGGATCGGTGTCGATTCCGTGTTCGTGTCGTGCGTGCGGGCAAGGCGAAGTTGCGCGGACGGGCGCGAGGAATGAACCCTCCTCTGGCTAGGGCGCCGCTGGGCCCAAAGTCCGTACCCCTTGGTTGCCCGTCGGTGCCCCGTCGGTGTCCCGCGGTTGCCCGTTCTGCCTGTCGGTGCCCCATCGGTGTCCCGTGGTGTCCCGTGAGATCGATTGTGCGATCGATAGTGAGTTTCATTGTGATGTCGATCGTGACATCGACAGTGAGATCGATCGCGACATCAAAAGTGATATCGAAAGTAAGATCGATAGAAATATCGATTGTGATTTTGATGGTGAGAAGCATAGTGGATTCGATGGTGGGTCCGATAGTGAGATCGATAGTGATATCGATTGAGTGAGATCGACAGTGAGATCGATAGTGCTTTCCCGTGGGGGTAGTGAGATCGATGTTGAGATCGAACGTGAGATCATTGAGTGAGATCGACAGTGGGATCGATAGTGATGTCCTGCCGGTTTCCCGTCGGAGTCCCGCCGGAGTCCCGAAATGAGGTCGATAGTGATCGATACTCAGATTGATAGTCTGACAGCCTGTGATACCGATAGTGAGACCGCTAGTGGAATCGATAGTGGTATCGAGTGAGATCGATAGTGTAATCGATGGTGTAATCGACAGTGAGATCGATAGTGATCGATGGTGACATCGATAGTGCGATCGATAGTGAGATCGATCGGGAGAACGATCGTGGGATCGACATTGACATCGATTGAGTGAGAGGTTGCTTCCTACACGCGCACACACACGCATCACCCGGAGGGTGGTCGTATAGTAAGCTAGATGCGCGCGCCGTATCTGGAGTCTGACCCCTTCCAACCATCCCTTCCCAGTGACCTGGATCCCCCAACTGACACCAACGTGCGTTGCGCAATTAGGAATGGGACCTCTGTACATTGGAGGAGGAGGTGTGGCAGATTAACAGAAGGATGAGCAGGAGGGAGAGGAAGGGGGATGAGGCGCAACGCCAGGAGCAGGAGCAGGAGGAGCGGGAGGAGCATGAGGACGAGGTGAATGCGAATGAGGGGAAAGGAAGGGACGGAAGCGACGAGAAAGCAATCGGATCCAGAAGTGTGGCCTGCGCTCTGGCGAGGCGCCATTCTGGACGACGCGAACAATGCGCCGATCCTGAAATTATGCCAGCGCTGCAGCGGGGACCCTGTTGTGAAAGGCCAAGAGCCGTCCGATAGGCAGCAATACACATAGAGCGTTACGTATTGAATTCTTGCGCGTTAGACAAATCTGCGGCAGAAGTGGCGCCTTGCTCTACAAAATAATTGCGGAGGAGGGAAGGGGAGGTCTGCGCGGGAGCGAGGAAAGGAGTGAGGGGGGGGGGGATGGACCGAGGAAGGGGAGCTACGAGGGCGACGGTGACGCCAGGACGAGCTTCCCTCGCACCTGGGCGTGAAGAACGGGTTCTACCACGTTCCAGCTTCATTCGAGTCGCCGCTCCGGACGGCTCCGCCAGCGTCGGACATGTAGACGGAAGACGAGAAGACGAGAAGGAAATTACGGGAAGACGAGACGAACGACGAGAAGGAAAAGGAGGAGCCGGGAGACGAGAAGGAGAACGAGAAGGAAGAGGAAAGCGAGGGGGAAAAGGAGGAGTTGGGAGAAGTGAGATGGGAGGACCGAGGGTCGGGGTATCTTAATTTTTCGTTGAACTGGCGGGTCTCCGGGGACCTCCGTGGACCTCAGGTTCCCCAAGGGAGACAGAGGAGGAGGAGGAGGAGGAGGAGGAGGCGAAGGAGGAGGAGGAGGAGGAAGAGGAGGAACGGAGAGCATGAGAAGCAGGAGTAGGAGGAGGAGGATAACGAGGAGCAGGAGGAGGAGGAGACGGAGGAGGAGGAGGAGGAGGAGGAGGAGGAGGAGGAAGAGGAGGAGGAGGAAGAGGAGGAGGTCTCCCCTGTGTGTGCCGTGTGCCTATTGAGGGGCCCTCCGCGGCACGGCCAGTCTCGTTGTTTTAGCGTTTCGCTCCGTCTCTCTTTCTCTTTTTCTTTCGTTTCGGCTGGTGCTGCCATGCACAGTGCACGGGTCCGCGTTTGGTGGCAGCCTCCTCCCCTGAGGATCCCGAGCAGCGAGGTCGGCAAGGGAATTGTTCCTGCAGGCCTTCCGAGGGACCCCAGCTGATGCAGTGCTGGCGGAAGATCTGAGCATCATTGCTGGTCCCTGGTGCCGGCTTCCGTGGGCAGCTCGGTCCACGTGCGGATCAGTGGATGCTGCTTCTTTGATCAGGCACTCTCTTGTAGCCCATTCTCTTCCTATCCCTTGTCCTTCTCCACCCTGGGGCGCCAGGACCACCCAGGTCCGCGAGTTTGCGTCGGTGCCCCGCAACTTCGCCCCGGACGGCGCCTGGCAGAGGGCGGTGGAGGACGCCTACATGAGGCTGCATGCCCGCGCCCATTACTCGCGCATGTGCTCGCGTGCGGCACGTGGCATGTCTGCCCAGCCGCCCAAAATCCATTCGCTGTCTCCTGGCAAGGCCTGGGATTGACCATGGACAGCCCCTCGAATTGGTCCAGGCTGGCCTCTGCAAGTGCCCGGGGCAGCCCTGCGCGACCTGAGCACCCCCTGCGCCCTGGCGGCGCTGCGCGCCCCGGGGTTGGCGCGCTGGGGCTGGCCTGGACCACCTCCGTGGGCTGCCCGCGCGCAGCCCCAGGCCTCCACCTCCGAGCAGTGCCACGTCCTCCTCGTGTCCCGCCACAGCGGCTGCACATGTTTGGTGCGGCCGTGGTCGCGCGACCCTGCAGGGCTCTGGTGTGTGCGCACTTGCGGGGGCGGCTGCCAGACTCGGTCACTCTCTCTGCTTCGAATGTCGCTCGGCCTCCACGCAATCCAAGATAATGCTCTGCAAAGCCTGCTCGCGTACTCGCGCGGGTGCTTGGTAAGATAGTATTTGCTTGGCAATTTCTTGTATTGGTGTTATCATTATTCTTCTTCTCAATAATATTGTTATGTTCCTTCTTATTAGTCTTAGTCCCACAGGGCATGTATGGCACATGCAGTGGCCAGTTGATTCCAGATTTGACGAATTTGCGCCCCAATAGTATAGCCTAGCCGTGTTGCCAGGTTGACGCACACGCCATTGCCAACCACTCCGATGACCACTCCAATGACTGATAGGGTGCCGCTGATTATTCCAGAGCTCAGGTGGGGGAGTGAGCGCAACAGAGGAGCGAGTGTCAAGCAGCTCTCGGCACATGTGAGACAGTGAGACGGTGCTGTCTACAGGGATGCCACATGACAATTTGTTGCACGTCGGAGTAGCCAGCGCTCGCTTTCCAAGCCCATCGGGACACAGCGACTTTGCGGAGCGCGAGTTCTCGCAGTTGGCGACGACGGCGCCCTAAGGGCTTTGAAGGACACAGCCGTGCGCCGCTGTGAGAGACAGCGTTTAGTTGCCAGGGAGGTGTGCGGGCTTCCAGTGAGGTCTCCGTGGGTCGAGACCCGTCGGGCAAGAGGACAGGTCAGCATGCGGACTATCACTATGCTGCGGAGTCGAAGGGTCGAGGGGGGCTCGGGGGAAAGCGGGCGCGCGAAAATTGCAACATACAGCACTTCCTCGTTGCACGGTCGATCCGCCACGCCCACCTTTCGGGGCGGGGACGAACGCGGGGAGTGGCTCAGGGGCGCGAACATCGACCAGCCCCACATCGCCTACCGTCTCCTGACCAGGATAGAACTCACAATCTAAGAGCCAACGCTGAAGACATCGAAAGCAGTCAGCCCCTGCTTTGATGAAGTACCCGCTGTTTGACCCAGGAAACAAGGGCCGGTGCCTACTATTCCTTAGGAAGGGCGAGTCCCTGTTCATCAATATTGAGGAATCATCGTTTCTTGTCAATCAACGTTTCGGTATTTGGGAATGATGGGCCCCAGTGGGTAATTCTTTCGCAGTAGAGGAGCCTCGCCTATTACTCTCCTGCCCATTTGTTTTGTCCGTCTTCGTCGTAGTAACTATCATTGTTTCGCCGCGCAGCTTCGTTTTTCGTCGTCGCTGCTCTAACCAACTAACTGTTTGAGGGCTCCACTCGTTGTTCGTATTCTAACTCACATGTCCGTTTGCGCTTCTTCTTCCAATCCCGAACGGGACTCGTCGAACGAATTGGGGAAGATGTTCGGGTAGTTGTCCCTGACGAAAAGCGTGACGGCATTCCGCGGGCCCCCCATTTGCCGCTCGGAGCCGAAGTAAGATCGGTACCATCTGGGGGGAAACTTGTGATACGTCCGCTTCGCGGGCGTTATTCACTCCTCGTCGTTCGTTCCCTCTGGCTTGGTTATGGCTTGGGATTGGGGGCCGGACTTGAGTTCTGTGCCGTCCCGTTTTTCAGTCGGGATCTCCACGCGGGGCAAGTTTGGCGGTCCCAATCGGCAGGCCAATCTAAAGGCGCCGCCTTTGCAGGCGCTGGATGACGTGCCTTCGTTGTTCCAGCCAGCTTTTGGGCCGCTGGGTAGGTTCGCCTTCGTCTTCTCATCGAACTAACTTTCGGGCCGCTGCGGTCGTCGCACGTTTTTTGAATAATTGGCGGGAGAAAAAAGGCCTACTCGTTTTCAGTTTTGTTTTCTCGTGTCGCCGGAGAGTACTCCCAAGGAGTAAGGGACCCTTGTTGATCATTTTGGGATAGCACACACACCTGTCCATCATTCAAGTATAGCGAACCCTTGCTGGTCATCCAAGAATAATAATGTTTATCTCCCCTTCCTGTCTGGCGAGTGACCCAGACTCAATAATCAAATATGATCAAATGTGTAAGCGTAACGGCCCGTAAATGGCAAACGCGTATCCGCTATGCAAGAAGAGTGATTCTGAAGTTGCTGCTCATGCCAGAATAGTTGTGAGTCTTCCCCCCATCCCGTCCGGCTATTTCATGAGTCAATATTGACCCCTGTTCGAACATAGCGACACTTTGTTGAGTATTTCCGGGAAGTAGATCCCTGTCTAAAAAGGTTTCCAGCTCTCCGTCGCATGCATCTCCAGGTGCGACTGTAAACATGTGTGGCATGTTGCAAATTTGGTTTGTTCTGGAGATTCTCACGCGAGCGCTAATTTGACATTGACTTGAAAATTGCTCCTCCACGTGCACCAATGCCTTCCACGATTAGTTTTTTCGCGTCTGTCGCATTTGCGGGCCCCCTGTCACGAACCGGCATGCGACGAGAAACTGGGCCCGTAGAGGCGGCTGGGAGATCCAGCGTTTCTCCTGTGCTCCTTCGCTGTCTCCTCATCCTTCTGACCATCGGGGGGCCTGTCTTTGTTTTGCGCCACGCTACTTTGTTATTTTTCCGAGCAGTATTTGCCAAGCAAGGAATCAACGCCATTGTCTGCGGTACAGGGTAGTGAGGTTGCCGCCCTCTGAGAGGCCCCAGCAGGGAAACATCTTGCGGAGGGGCGGAGTGGGCGGGGGGGCACACAATATTGACATTGGATAAGGTGTATGTTCCGTGTCGAGCAACGTTCACGCATTGTGATCTGCCATTGTGTTTGTTTGTGCATCTAACGTGCGTCAGCAGTGCATCATGAGCCGTTTGTATGTGGCCTGATATGTTGATGAGTGTCTGGCGCTACCGTCTACCCAATTCGCGTTCTCAGGCCACGTGATTTTGCTTGCGCCTTTCGTGCCGTTGGCCGTCGAGGCACTTTAGCCAGTGCTATCACGGTGCCTGCGATGTGTTTGTGCATGTGCATGCGAGACACCATCCGTCCAAGAAGTGGGAAAACGTGGGCAGGATCGGCGACTATTTGGAATTGCCAGTTGCTCCTCAGGTTCGGCACGATATTCGTGCTATGCAGGGGTTGCAATGCCAGTATCGACAGCATGTGTGTGCACATGATGTGTTGCCAGACGCGCAGCACAGTTCTGAATTCTAGAGTACGTTGGAATCGTCAGACGCGAGTGCAAGAATTCATCGTGCACTTACATCAATGCCGCATGGCCATTTGGGAAGGGATCGTCTGGAGATCTGGGTCTAAGGTTTGTGTTGCACATGTTGTGTCTCCCTCTCCGAAGTTGCCACAGGGATGCCCCCTTCACGTGCCATAGTCTCCTGCCCAAGCCGCCAACTTTCTGGGTTGTGGGGCAGCGGTTTCCTTGGAATGTACCGCGTGAGTCATATCGATGGATGTCTCTCGGGGCATTTGGGGATGCCTCTGGGGGGCCTCTTGGAGGGCTCCTTGGGGCCTCTTGGGGCCTCCTGGTTGGCCTCTGGGGGCCTCCTGGTTGGCCTCCTGGAGACCGCTTCGGTCCTCAGATGGGGCTCCTCGAGAGAGCCTCCGCAGGGATCTTGGGGCCACCGAGGGGTGTGAAATGTCAGCTCCTGCTCCCGCTCTTGGGGCCCGCTTGGGAGGCCCTGGCCATGTAGGGCCGTCTTGTTTTTACCCAGCGACATGAACCCATGACCCCCTGTGCGACGAAAGCTCTGCGAAGGCAAGATGCATCTGTCACGGTTTACCTCTTGGGGGCGGTGAGTTTGCCACAGGGCCGTCTTGGGGCCTTGGCCCGCGGAAAAGGCTTGCGGCCAAGGCTCGGGAGGCACGCGGCACACCCCTGAGACTCCGCAAATTGTGGCCCCAGGAACGGTACCGGTCGATTTCTCAGAGTTTCGGGCAGGGGATCGACGACAGAATTGTCTTACCCCAAACTTGAGTTCCACGCCGGATCTACAAGAAATACGTGTTTTTTTTTCATTGATTCGACTGAGGAACACCACATTGGGGTAAATCAATTTTGAAGTCGAGCCCCTATTCGAGGATTGAGGAGAGAACATTCAGAAGACATGAGGTTCACTACAACTCCTTCCTCGAGGTGCGGTAGCGGATGGTGATGCGCATGTAGCCAGCACGCCCAATGCACGCAGATGAGCAATCGGCTCTTGTGCTACCTTTGTGTGATGCACAGGCTCCTGCACAGCCGCCCATGCTCACGGCGGGACGGGTTTGAGGGGGGGCGGCTGCACATGGTTTTTGCTCTAGCTGCTCCGCGGATTGTGTCTAGCGAGTCGTGGGGCCGCATGTCGTGTGCAGCAGGGGTGCCTCGAGTATGCGTGATCGGATGTGCGAAGCAGGCGGGCACAGTTGGGGCCTCTAATGTGGAATGTCGTGTTTGACACTTCTCGTGATCAGCAGACGATCGGGTCGAAGGAGGATGAGGAGGAGGAGGAGGAGGAAGGGAACATGTGGGGAGGCCGAGCAGGACTGGAGGGTCGGCGGAAGGAGCAGGCAGCAGGAAGAGAAGAGAGGATGAGGCAAGGGAGCGTATGAGGGAAACGGGAGTAGGAGGAAGCCCAGCAGCAGCAGCAGCAGCAGGTGAAGGACGAGAGGACGGACGAGGAAGCGGGAAGGGAAGATGAGGAGAAGGATGGCACACACATGCGGTATGGTTGAGAGCGAATGGCACGAGTGGGCAATTGTGCTTGCATCTGGTTGTTGGCGCGTCGTCCATGCAAGAATGCGGGCGTTGCCAGCGGGGCGAACCGCAACAACAACGCTCCCCGCCCCCCTCATCATCACATGTTTACCTTCTCCTCCCTCCTGCTCCTCCCTGACGGTGCCCTCCCTTTCATCCTCGCTGATCTCTCTCCTCTCTCGCTTGCAGCCGCCTCATCCGCTACCTTGTTTTGCCCGGCTATCGGCCCCACTCCCCCCTTTTTCCCCCGTCCCTCCTCGCTTTCGTCCCTCCTTTCTCCAGAACTACTCCTTTCGTTCGGGTTGGTCCTTTGTTGCAGCCGGTGTGGTTTTGGTTGGCGCCGGCGATGGCGACGACGATGGCGACAACGAGGATTGCGGTTGCGAGTGTTGCGAGTGCGACGACGACAGTGGCAGGGCTACGACGACCACGACCACGACCACAACGAGGAAGAGGCGGTGCCCAGAGGCATGCGGAGGCCAAGAATTAGCCAAACGCGCCCCCAAAGCTCGATCTTCATCAAACCTGGGCCCCGAGCCGACGCTGAGGGCAGAGCGAGGGACGCGGCCAAGGGGGCGGTCTCGTCCTTCGCCTCGTCCTCGTGCTCGACCTCCTCGGCCTCGCCCGCCGCCACCTCCCGCGCCCCGCTGCCTCCCCGCGGATGCGCGCCCGCCCTGCGCTCGCAGGGCGAGGGGCGCAGGGCGGAGGCGCATCCGCAGAGGGAGGGGTGGGCGCGCATCCGCGAGCGCGGCGTTGGCGCGCATCCGCGGAGGGAGGAGCGCTCGCGCGAGGAGTGCCCGACACGGAGCCAGCCTGTAAGGGATCTGGGACCTCGCGGGCGCCAGTGGGGGGCCTCCCCGCGGTGTCTCGGGGGGGGGGAGTCCTTCCCTCCTCCTTCCACCCAGGGGTCTGCTCGAGGGCTCAGGGTCTCGCGAGGGCTCAGGGTTCCCCCAGCGGGGTGGGGCAGGACAGCTGCGGGCACTTCCTGACGGCGCAGTGCGTCGGGCAGCCGCTGACGGGCCCCCAGCGCGCGCGCGCGCGGGCCGAGCTTGGACTGCGAACAGAAGGAGGATCGAGGAGGGCGAGAGCATGCCCAAGCAGTGCTTGCACTTGAGGGTTCTTATCTGACTTGTGCAAGAAGTTGGTTGGGCATGGCGGGGCTGCGGGCGGTGCCCGGTTAGCGGGCGCGTCGTGGGCACTCCACGCTTCGGGGTGGGGGTTCGCTTGGCCCCGCCCGTGGGCGTCTCGTGGGCGCCCCGCGCTGGGGGGCTACGCCGTTATTTCACCTGGTGCCCGCCCATGGGCGCCTCGTGGGCGCTCGCGGGCGCTCCGCGCTGGATGGACATTCCGATGTCTCGCCTGGTGCGGCACCAGGCACCCATGGCGCCTCGTGGGCGCCCCGCGCCGGGGGGGGTTGCGAATCGAAGTAGCTATCATCTCATGTTGACTAGCAACAAGCATCAAAAACGCGGAGGCCGTGGTTCGAAGCAACAGCAACAGCATGGGCGAGTGGTTTGAGCCGTGCGCAAGAGAGGTTTCTTGGCCAGGAGCGCCAAGGACTTCCCTTGCGCAGGCAAGTTGTAGCCACGAGCTTTGAGATCTGTCGAGTCAGTCTTGTGCCAAAATCTACAAGGTCATTCTACACGAGCGCCCAGGATCAGCATTATCATCATCATCATCATCATCATCATCATCATCATCATCATCATCATCATCATCATCATCATCATCATCATCATCATCATCAACATCATCATCATCATCATCATCATCGTCATCGTCATCATCGTTATCATCGTCATCATCATCATCACATCACTTCCCCCGGAAATTCGTTGATTATCCCCGCCGGACCCCCGAACTTTATTATCCCCAGGTGACTACTATCGGGAGCTGAGGGTTACTTGTACACATCCGTTGTTACGCCGTATTAGTTGTCAAAAAGTCTTTTCGCGCGCTCTTGCGAAGTCTTACGCGGATTATTATTTGTTCAACTTGTTCATCAAATGCGGCCAAGCGGACCATTCGCGCGCGCGTGTCGAAATCATGTGAACGCCGTTGCGTGCTTGCCGGAGTGCATTTCCCCTGTCGAAGAATACTGTGCGGGCCACTTGCGCCCGCCGGCCGCACGCGCATGCCGAAATGTTTCCAAAACCTTCGTCGCCGACGCGAGGACACCATTATCGTCACCATTCATAGGCGTCGTCATTGGCTGTGCCTTCGTTCTCATCTCCATCGTCACCGTTGCTGCTATCATCATCGTGCCTCCGTTGTTGACGTCGCCATGAAAATGCGCCTGCCCGAGTCACCGACTAGCACTGAAGTGTCCGCACGTCTGCGCGGCCTGCGAGAAGCGGTGGGAAGTCCTTGGCGGTCAGCGCCGCCGCGGCGCGTCGGTCGCGTCACACTAGTTGGCCGCTCTGCGCACGAGCCTGCGCGCGGTAGCACCGCCGCAGCGATGGAGCGCCAGGCAACCATCGCAATCGCCACCGAATGAGTTTTGCAAACCAAGTTGTTGGTGGGTGGATGGGATGATTGCGCGAGCAGTTCAGTTGTGAGCAGCAGGTAATTGCACCACATAGCTTGCACCACGCCGTTTGCGCCACACGGTTGCATCACATCGTTTTCGCCACGTAGTTTACGCCAAGTGTTTTGCACCACGTACTTCGCGCACTTTTACGTCGCAGCGCGGCAAAGACAATTTGCACGCGCGTCTGGACCAGACCTGGACACAGCGTCGCGAATTTACCTGCATGCAACAGGACGGGGGGGAGCCGACAGGGCGGCCGCGAAAAGTCGTTCGCAGGGTGGTTTGCCAGAAACTTGGTTTGCCAATGAATTATTGTTTGGGGCCTGCGCTGGCAAACAATTGTTTGTTATCTTGCGTCTGTTTTCTGCTTCGGGGATTTCGGGGTATCCTAAGGTTTCCCAGAGGCTTTGGGGACTTCGGTGCGACGAATCGCGCCCGATGATTTTCTCCCTGGTGCCATCGTGGTTTTTTGGGGTCCTGGGCCCACCCAAACAAACTCAGGATGAGAAGCCGGCCCGGGGTCAAGGGGGTCGAGAGGTGCAGGGGGGCTGCGGTTCCAACAAAATCGAATCGCCCCAGGTGTGCCTTCTCTTTGTTGCGTCTGCCTCCTGTGCCGTGCCCTGGTGCTGCCGCTCCTCCGCCCGCCGGCACTCCCCATCCCACACCTGCTCATCCAATTCCCCTTTTTTCCGCCTTCTCCTGCCCCCTCCTCCGCCTCCTCCTCCTCCGTCGCGTCGTCGTCCTCGTTCTCCTGCTTATCAGCATCATCACCCTCAGCATCATCATCATCAATACCACCATCATCGTCATCATTATCATCATCATCATCATCATCATCATCATCATCATCATCATCATCATCATCATCATCATCATCATCATCATCATCATCATCATCATCGCCTCCAAGCGGCGCGCGCGCGAGGCTGGCCGGGCCTGGCGGGCGAGCAGACACCCGGCCCGCCGACTTTTTTGCCGTCCCTTCCGGAGGCGCGGCATACGCCGTCGTCGTCGGCGGCGGCGGCGGCGAAGGCTTCGGCATCGGCACCGTACACGTCGCCGACGCACTCGTCGGCGCCGTCGTCTTCTTCGTCGTCGACCGTCGTCGTTGCGATCGTCGCCGTTGCCGTCCTCGTCCTTGTCGTCTTTGTCGTTTTCGTCCTCGTCGTCGGCCTCCTCGATGGAGTCGGTGTTGGGGTCGTCCATGTCGACGTCTTGATCGGCGCCGGAATCGTCGTGTACGTCAGCGTCGGCGTCGTGGTCGCCGCCGCCACCGCCCACTCTCGCCGCTCCCCTTCCCCCTTCAGCGGCTCTCGTCCGTGACCTCAGTACCGGGCCCTCTGGCGATTGGAAGCGGTCGCGCGGTCTTCAGTTTTCGGCGCCCTCGGACCGCTTCGATGCCCTGGAACCGTCAGAATCGCAGGGGGCGAGGAGGGCGGGGGCGGGGCGCAGAGGGGGAACGAGAAGGAGGAGGAGGAGGGGGAGGAGGAGGAGGAGGAGGAGGAGGAGGAGGAGGAGGAGGAGGAGGCGGAGGAGGCGGAGGAGGAGGAGGAGGAGGAGGAGGAGGCGGAGGAGGCGGAGGAGGAGGAGGAGGAGGAGGAACCGTCAGAACCGATGAAGCGCTGGTTATGGGGAAGGGGTCGAGCACACGGCGGGGACTCGAGCAGATCGAGTCGTCAGAGGTCCGGGTATCCTCAATCGCCGCAGGCGACTGGTTTCTCGGCTACTCCAGATTTCGTAATAAAGGGAGGGGGGTCTCATTTCGGGGGGGGGGTCTCTTCCAGGCTATCTTGGAGGGCCTGGGGGGGTCTGGGGACGATGTTTTGGAGGGTTCTCCCACGGGGGAGGTCTGAAATGGCTTGTCTTGGAGGGTCCAGACCCCCTCCCTTTTCTTACGAAATCTGGAGTATTCTCAATCGCCGCAGGCGACTGGTGTCTCGGCTAGATCACATGTTCTATTTTCTCGTTGGGAGAAAGTGGCGTCGCCTCCTAAAAGCATTAGTCCTGATAGGGAAAGAGCCACTTCCTTGTATGGCCATGCAGGCGAGCACGTTTGAAGAACATGCATGTGCGCGTGTTCTCGAAGTGGTTGGTCTTGAAGGTGATCCCGTGCTAGCCCCGCCCAGGGGCGCAGGTTCCGTCGCACCAACGCGTTCGCTCAACATGCCTCCTTCTGGCGTGTTGTGACGATGCCAGCACGTTGGATGGCCGTGTCATGGAGACAGTTTGAAGTAATTGTTATTGTGTCTATTCCATTTCAGCGATGGTAGCGTGCATATCGCCATTCTACAGCGAGGATGATGCTCGACTAATGCCTGCGTCAAGAGGCGGGGACACCAATGTGCGGAGCCTCTTTGCGCGTCACGATCAAGCTGGCTGGCGAGGGCCTCGTTCTGGCAGCCGCCCTGACCCCCCAGGTGCCTGAAGATACCAAGAAGTCCACGGAAGGCCCCAGGATATTTCCAAAGGCCCAGACAGCACCAGAAATGCCAGAGAAGTTGGATCTTCGGTCCTCGATTTTGCTCCTCCGCTTCGGCACCAGCTCGGCGTCGTGGCTCTGTTCGGCCATGGACCTTCCTTATTCTCATGCTGCCTCCCCCATTCAGCGGCTTGGCATCATTATAATCTACCCCAGTCGATAAAGTAACGCGCAGCCTTGCCACCGTTGAAGCTGGAAGTCATCAGTTATTTCTTGTCAGTATGCTTGCTCTGGACTCATATCACTACGTCCCCTCGAAATTTTTCGGGCCCCAATAACGCGGGCACCACTGTGTTCTGTTCGGGATTGCATTGAGAGAAACCAATCCCTGGGTGAATATTCAAGCGGTGACCTCAATTTTTGAGCGGGACATTAAAGCACGACGCAGCTCTCGCGGTAGCAGGCGCTTGCTCTAGCGGGCCGGTCGGGTCGGGCGGGTGGGACCTTAAAGGTTGACGCAGCTCTCGAGGTAGCACGCGCTTGCCCTGGCAGACCCGTCGGGTCGGGCGGGCATGACATTAAAGCACGACGCAGCTCTCGCGGTAGCATGCGCTTGCTTTAGGGGGCGGCGCTTGCCCTAGCGTGCCGGTCGGGTCGGGCGAGCGCCGGGTCGGGCGGGCGGGACTTTAAAGTCGGACGCAGATGGCGAGGTAGAACGACTTTGCCTTTGTGGACAGGTCGGGTCGGGCGGGCGGGACATTAATGTCCTCTCTCATACTTCCTGGGCGTGGATTTAAGCGATGAAGATCGGCAGCAACCGGAGGAGGGAGGAGGAGGAGGAGGACGAGGAGGAGGAGGACGAGGAGGAGGAGGAGGAGTTGGCGGAGGAGGAGGAGATATGCCTCTAACTTCCATTTTGGCAGGCCAATCGAAAGTCCAATATTGGACTTCCCAACCCTGGAATTGAAAAACCCCAATATCGGGTTTCAGAAACCCCAATATCGGTGTTGGGACCCCGAAGTTGGACCAAGACCTCAATATTGAACCCCAAGATTGGGAAAGGTCAATATGTCAATCCAGAGTTAGAAGTTTGGGAATTCCACTGTATTGAAGGTGGGGATTGATTTTTTTCAATTCCAGAGTCGAAGCCCCGCATCAATTACGTAGATCTTCCTCTCCGTTATCACCATCTCTGATTTCTCCGACTTCGCCTACACCATTTTCTCCTTTGACTTCCCGGGGGCCCGTGGGCGTACCAGAACACCGACTCCAGAAATTACGTTTTCACGGAACTGTTACATGGATGCGTTTTACCACCGACCAGAACAGGCCTCCTGGGGTCGTCCCGGACGTGTTTGCAAGCCGTGCAGTCTTCAGCGCTTTTCAACTTGGAATATTCAAGGTCTCCGGGGCGACTCCGCCGTGAAAATCGACGAACTTCTGCTCATGATGTCATAAAGGGGAATGGATGTATTATGTATCCAGGAGACTCACCTCAACGGTGCAGAATGCTACACTCGTTAAGGGTTATGCTGCATTTTTGTCGGGATGTCGGGATTCAAATGAAAGATCCTATACTGGAGTGGGGTTCATAGTGTCACCACGTCCTCGCTCGGCAGTTGTTGCGTTTAAAGCGTGTGGCTATCGCATAGCCACATTTCGTTTGAAAATACATGGTGGGGTGCTTACCGTGTTATCCGTGTACGCGCCGCACAACGGAATCGATTACGACATCAGGAATACATTTCACCACACTTTGCAAGACCACATTCGCCGCACTACAGAACACTCTACATCATACGTTCTTGGTCACTTTAACGCCAGGTGGTTCCAGAGAAAGGACGGGGAGGAGGACGTCATCGGACCGCACTTGCACTTGCACTTTTACGAGTCGACAGATGGCAATGCAAACGATACTACTTCAAACCGGTACCTGTTGGTAGAATCTTGAATTTCGTCCGACCTGGTGATCGCCAACACGTTCTTCGATCACCGTAATGAAAAAAAACGTTTCTTACTGTGACCTTGGCGTTCACCCAATGGCGGACACCGAGGGCGTAGCATTCGCGCAACTTGGTAACTTCCTATGCCACCAAAGCCTTCCCCCAACGATTCTGGATTCCTGGACGTGCCGGGAAGAGCCAATCAATGGCCAACATTTGCTCACGATTGTTGAAACTTCGCTTCAATTCACTGTTGGCGGAGAGCGTAAGAAGAAGGCATCGGACAAGAGGGCATTGAAGCAGACGGGTGCCAGACATGAGTTTTTGGAGGCGTTCAAAAGTGCGGCTTCCGCAAAATATGCCACGTGCAGCCTGGATGAATCAGCAGCTGCTTTCAAGGCTGCCGCACTGACGTTGCCTGAAACATATGTTCTCCCCAGACGTCCTTGGACCAGCTCGCACACACTTGACCTTATAAGGGAACGGAAAGTATGCCGGCTCATGGGGGACCACCACTTTGAGAAGATGCTTAACAAGCAGATTCGGCAGTCTGGCAAACAAGATCGCAAAACATGCCTGGAATATATGTGCGTAGCGGAGGATGGGATGCCGTGAAATATTTGCGCAAGCCAAAACCCATCAAGCACGCAGACAAGAGACTGGATGGTACGTTATCAGACACGGCGGAACGAGCAGACATGATGGCGGATTATTTCGAGTCCGTGCAGTGGCACCAGCGGTATCTTGACCTTTTGCCAGACCGTCATACAACGTTCGGGAGCGTACTGCCCATAAACACAGACAAGTCCAATATGGATGAATTAGTTTGAGTTTTGAAGAAGTTGAAATTTGGAAAAGCTGCTGGACCAGACGACATACCATCATATGTTTGGAACATTCTGCTTTATGACAAAAGCGCCAGTGGCATATTATTTCGACTATGTCAACAATGCTGGAGGCGAAACTCAATTCCAGAGTCGTGGAGAACAGATAAAATAGTAGCACTGCTCAAAAAAGGACACGCTGCCCTTCCAGACAATTTCCAGCCAATCTTTTTGCTTGCCGTTGGCTATAAGATTTTAGCATCATTGATGCACCAACGACTGATACGCTGAGGTTCCGAACAGCGCATGCGCAATTCACAATTTGTTTTCCGCCCAGGGCGTGGCACTGCGGACGCACTCATGCTTGTAAGGCGTATGATTGACGTGGTACACAACAGCTTTGACGACGGGATCATCGTGCTGATGCTTGACTGGGCCAAAGCATTCGATAGAATCAATCCGGCCGCCATGTGCAGAGCATTGCGCAGATTTGGGTTTCCTTCCGACATGGTGGAAATGGTGATCCATCTACGAGGCCCGCTTCTTTTTCATTTGGGACAATACCGGGAGCTTTTCGGAAAGACGACAAAGAGCCGGAATCGCACAAGGGTGTCCGCTTTCTCCGTACCTCTTCTTAGCAGCTCAAACAAGAATGCTTCATGATTCGGCTGATGCGTTGCATCCCCATTAAGAGCCAGAATACGCGGTTACACGGGACGTGCTGTACGCCGACGACACGTCTCGTGTATCTCGACACCAGACCAATTTGCAAGCAATGTCGAGTGCAATCGTAGAAGAAGGGCCGAGATATGGTTCGGAATTGAACTGGGGCAAGGCCTTGCAGTTGCAGGTATCAACGTGCAAAAAGATCCCGAAATCAGATGGGGGCGACATCAAGACCGTCCGGGACGCGGTATACTTGGGGGGGCTTGTGTCTTCCGAAGGGAGGGCTTCAACAGAATTGTCCAGATTGGGGGAATCATGTGTGACTGTCAAGCAGTTAGACAAAGTATGGTCCAGAGCGGCGATCGGGTGGAAGCGAAAGTACAAGATCTACGACGCCGTCGTCTTAAGCAAGCTCCTCGACTCCCTGGATTCTCTGTAGTTGCTAAAAGCTGACCGCGCTCGTTCGGACGCTTTTTACTGCAAGTGCGTGCGGCGACTGCTTGGCATTCCATCTTCGTGCATATCTCGCGTGGGCAACGACGCAATTTTGGAGAAGGCGGCGACGAAACCGTTGTCGCAATCATTTCTGTGTAGACAGGTAAGCTTGTACAAGAAAATTGCGGCCTATGATGCTAATTCGTTTGTGAAGCTGGCATTATTCAATGCAGATGGGTCGCATCAAGCGTGGTCCGCCCGCCGCAGGAGAGGACTACCGCGCCAACAATGGGCAACCGAGGTGCATAAGCTTGCGCAACATGTGTAGCGCCGGTTCCACTGTGTGTTTGCCCTCCTCCTCCTCCCTCTCCGTTCCTTCCCCACTTCCCCCTTACCCCCCCCCTCCCCCTGGTCCTAGCAAGCGCGTGTGTGCCAGTCTAACTGCTACCATTTTCGCGAGCGTGTCAAAGGCACAGCTCGATTTGCCTATACGTCCTCTCGGGTGCACTGCCTTTGACTGACTGGCTGAGTCGAAACCCCAATTTTGGGGACCCACCGCTGGTGGAGCTAACCGTTAAGAGAGCTCAGGTTCTGGGTCTGACAGGGAACTTCTGCGCATGCCAACTCGCTTGCAATGTCGACGGGGTCGGCAACAGCAACTTGAAGGTTAGAGAAGCCTTAGTACGTAACGGCCGGCCGCTCAGGCGGGTCTGCACATGCTGGTTTAGAATCGCCCGACACAAGTTGCACCCCTGACGCTGACCTTTGTCTGTCGTCGCGCTCACATGCACCATTGGTGACCCATTCCCGCAACATTCAACCGCTCAGTTCCGCTTATCTGCTTGCACGGTGCTGCCTTTAGTGGCTCCCTGGCATGTAGGTGCTTCAATGGCTGCTAATTGCTAACCGCTCATCAGACCTCCTTGATGGATATGGCGCCCTTCCCATCCGCATGCAATTCCGCAATGATTCAGCTTGCCGCTGCGAAAGTTTCTGTCCTGGTGTGGTGGCATCGCGACCGATTCCTCTAAGCGCTTGAGTGCACAAGGCTTGCATCACAGCCATCTTCTCAAAGTCTAAGCCGTGCAAACATCGGTCAATTATCCTTGCCAACGTGGACTTGGAAAGACTAGAGCCTTGCAACGGCAATGCGATAGCGAGACAGAGAGCCAAGGGATGAGGGATGAACGATCGGGGGTTCGGGACTTTCCCGCTTCACGAAAAATTGCTTATATACAGGAGCCCTCTTTGTCATGCCCGACGCAGTTTTTTAGTTCACTGGCGACGGCGGCCACTCACCGCAGTGTAGAATGAACCGTGCCAGCATATAGACCAGGATGTAACCTCGTGGAGCGCATTGCTTCAGGACTTGAGTGTTCATTGGTGTCAGTTGCGTCTAACGAAAGAACAGGTCGGAAGACGGCAGGAAATTGTTTATATCAAGGACGGGTGGCAGATGAGGAGGAGGACGACGACGACGGCGACGACGGCGATGACGACGACGAGAACCACCGCTTCGTCGGAGTTGAAAGTTTCGCCCAGAGACTTCATTGGATCTCCCCATCCAGGTCGGCTTCGGACAGGGTATGCAGTGTCCATTCCAGGATTGCGGGGGATGGTTGCTAGCCTTTCGCGTTGCTTCCAATTTGCAATGTTGCTTTCGCTGCGCACACTGCACAAGCTATATTCACATGTTATGACACTTCTCGTTGGTCCTGGTCCTCCCACGCCCCATGGCCCGAACCTCTGCGTGTTCCCTGCCTTCTCGTTGCAAGGCACGTTTGCTGACACAGTCTCGATTTGTTGATGGCTTGCTTGATCCTGCCTGTTGCTTTTGGTATCCCTGCTGCTCATGCCATCACTCTCTGTGCCATGTGGCTCCTCGCTTCTGTGATCCCTCCTCGGTTGACGGCCGAATGTGTGGGGCCACCCGCCACATTTGAGCAGTTGATGTCTGAAGAGCTCACAACATCGTTGAGCCGTGCTCCTGCTCCGACCCTAGAGCCATCCACCGTTGATTGCCGATCTTGTGTGGCCAGCCGCCGTGATTGAAGAGTCGACGAATGATTCAGGGGATCGTTGATGAGCCGTGCTCTCGGCCACGATCCTGGAGCCGTCTCCCGCGCCATCTGGGAGGGATCCGACGGAAGGTAACATGCAGGCAGTACAGTCCACCCGCACAGTATGGATGGGCAACTTTCCCAAGGGTATCTTATCTTCCTTGCCTCCTCGGTCCATCCTTGGCCGCTTTCGTTGGCCGCTCGAAAAGCTTCCACATGGACGTCCAAGGCCCTTGCATCCTTATCGCGCATCCTTACTAGTCGACTGTAGATGATCCGAGGCGAGGACAGGTGCATTTTCCCGGCACGCTTGGGACCAGGGTGGCAGTGTAGGAGCTCTTACGGGCCCCACCTAGGCTCACTTCCCTGCGCCCCGGGTCGCCCCACCCTTGCCTTCGAGGATCGAAGGATTTGATCTGTCATCTCTTCATCGGCGGAAGGCGGCGGAGAGGCGGCGGAAGGTCGGCGGAAGTAAAACGAGACCGCCTCCGCCGGCGGAAGCCAGTGGAAGGGCGGAAGGGCGGCGGAACGTGGCGGAAGTAAAACATGCACCCTCAGAGACGATTTCCCCCCCTGGCACCCCGGGTTGCCCCTCCCACCTCTGTGCCCACCCCTGCCGATTCCCGCCCACAGGGATGGACGACGAGCAGGGAGCACGGCGGGTGTCCGCGGACCAGCCCCCAGGGAGCGCGCCGACCGATGGGGCATTGCAGTGCCGAGTCCTGCAGAAGGGGCGTCTCTTGGGGCTCGGGGCCGCTTTTTGAGGATGCCGCCAGACGACGAGGATGACGACGAGGGATCTCTCGATGCCCGAGGCAGGGGGGGGCCACAGACCACCGACACCGGCTCCAGCTGGAGCTCCAGAGTATCCAGTTTCGTTCCAGCCCTGGCCCCAGCTCCAGCCCCAGCTCCAGCTCCAGCTCCAGCTCTACGCCAGCCCCCCAGCTCCACCCGCAGCTCCCAGTCCAGCTACAGCTCCTGCCCAGCTCAAGCTCCAGCTGCAGCTGCTGCCCAGCCATAGCTCTCGCTCCAGCCCAGTTCCAGCCCCAGGTCCAGCTCAAGCCACAATGTCAACCCCAACTCCAGCTCCAGCCCCTAGATCTTGTCAACCTACACGCACTGTGTGTGTCTCCAAGTCGCGATGGGTGTCTGGGTCGACCGCCAGGGGCCCGGGAGCGAGCTAAACTGTTTTTTAGTGATTTCGCAGGCCGTGTTTTGTTTAGATCTCGTTGAGCCGTAAAGATGAATCAAAGAGACAAAACGAGGATGAACGAGCCCAAAACAAATTCGGAAGACACGTTTTAGCTCGCGCCCTGCTAGGGGCTTTCTGGACGATGGACTGTCCGACGGTTTGGCGCTGGCCTCCAGGCTGGCGGAAAGACGTGCCGGCGTCCGCGGCTGGCGCGGCGGCGTCAGCTGCGGGTGTGCGGCCCCGCTTCTCAGCGGTTGCAATCATGGGGCCCGGAAAGACGGGGCCCTGAGGGGTGGGGCCCTGAGGGATCCAGGGGTGGAATTGCATTGTTGGAGGCACCTCGTCATGGAGGCCCCGTCCCTCAAGGCCCCATCTTTGAACCACCGATATTCACTCTCCGTCCCAGACGAGACGGCGGAGGTGGTCCGAAACCCCCAGCATCACAGCGGAGGAACTTTGATAATGTTCGGCGGCGGAGTCCGCACCCTACCCTCGCCGACCGACGATGTAGGCAGCTCGATGGGCGGCGGGGGTAACGGTAGGGTTCGGAATTCGTCGAGCACGTGGCAAAGTCCGAACCCTACCCCCGCCACCCATCGGTTCTGGAGAATCGATGGTTCCGGGGGTAGGGTTCTGATGGCGCCACCTATGTAACATTGCAGGAGCCTTGATGATGTTCAGGTTCTGGGAAGGCATCAACGGCCCCGGCCTCTGTCGTTGCACAACGTCGCTGCCGTCGTCGCTCGACCCCTTCCGCGCTCCGTCCGGGGCGGTCTTGCGAGCCGCGCCCAGCGGTGGCGACGAGGACCTCCAAAAGCGTTCTGAAGCTTCCGAAGCGACGACGACAAGGACCGCCGTAGCGCCGCGCGCGCGCGTGCGCGCGCTCGCCGGGTGCCGAGGGGACGCTGCTCCAGGGCGGCGAGTGCCCGCCGCTGCTGCCCCCGGAGGCGGCCAGCCAGCTTGACCCTGTCGCCGTCGTCGTTGTCTGCCATTCGTCGTTGCCGCATTGGCGGCCTTCGGCCGCCGTCGTGCGCTCCGCCAGAAAGAAATATACTGTGGCACCCTCCACTGGATTGTTTCTGGGCCTCGGGGGAGGGTGGCGGTGTACAAATCACCACTGAGAGCCAGCGACTTTATACAACGTCCCCTCCATGAAGGTACATGCAAAATTCGTCGGAGGGTGTCTGTGTGTATATGTCTATTATATATATATATATATATATATATACATATCTATGATCCAGGGTCGAGGGCCCACGGCCCCCCCCCCCCCCCCCAGATGGTATGGTCCCAGGATTCCTCGGGCCCCCCCCCCCCCAGATGGTATGGTCCCAGAGACGACGACGACGACGACGACGACGACGACGACGACGACGACGACGACGACGACGACGACGACGACGACGACGACGACGACGACGACGGCTGCGACGACGGGCGACGACGGCGACGACGGCGACGACGACGACGACGACGACGACCACGACGACGACAACGACGGCTGCGGCGGCGACGACGCCGGCGGCGGCGGCGACGACGACGATGACGACGATGACGGCGACGACGACGATGACGACGACGACGACGATGACGACGACGATGACGACGACGACGACGAGGACGACGAGGACGACGAGGACGACGACGACGACGACGACGACGACGACGACCTCTGAACCACCACAGCACCACACCACATCCACAAGGGGGGGGAGGGGGGCACCGCAGTGCAACACCACGCCACGCCCACCTCTGAACCACCACAGCACCACACCACATCCACAGGGGGGGGGGGGAACCGCAGCGCAGCACCACGCCACGCCCACAGGGGGGGGCGGGGGGGACCATCGCGCGGGGGGGGGGGGGCCCAATGGCATCAGCATTGGGGGGGGGGGCCCAAACCCTGGACCATCTCTATATATATATATATATAGATATACGTATATATAAAGATATCGGAAGTTAGGGGGTGAGTCCGATGTGAAATGGAGACCCCCCCTACAGGGAAATCGATTTCGGTTTCGAGTTCGTGTCGTGCGTGCCGTGCGTGCGTGCGTGCGGGCGGGCGAGGCGAAGCTGCGTGGGCGGGCGAGTGGAAATCCTCCTGTGGCTGGGCCGCGGCCGGACCAAATGATTCTCCTCGGGCGGCGGGTGGCCCGCGGTGTCCCGCTGGTGTCCCGCTGGCGTCCCGAAATCCTCCTGTAGCTGGGCCGCGGTCGGACCAAATGATTTTCCTCTGGCGGCCGGTGGCCCGCGGTGTCCCGCCGGTGTCCCGCCGTGGGTTGCGCATGTCAGAACATCGCCACTTGCGGCGAGCTATCCAACGCAACGACATTCAGACCGAAAAGCACATCGAAATGCAAATCGATTTTCACATCCAAATGCAAATCGTAAGGCGCCGTGGGCGCCGCGAGCAGTCACTGTGGCACCGCAGCGCGCACGTTCGACCACGTCGGCCAGCGCTGAGGTGAGATTCGCGCGATCGATAAGCGCACGCGGGGACAGCGCTTCACCACAATGTCGAGTGCGCTTCGCCAACATCGCCAGATCACATCACGCTCGCGTGCACAATCACACTACTCATTAGACTCCGCCCCACAGGCATCGGCAGAATACAAATCACCTTTTTTGCCCATTGCTGCCCCCCAACCTCCTTATCACCCGCAGGGTGGTCGTATAGGTGTGTGTGTGGGTGTGTATGTATACCTATACGACCACCCTTCGGGTGATAAGGAGGTTCGGGGGGGGGGGGGAACGAACGTCTCACTCGATCGGTCTCACTATCGATCTCACTATCGATCTCACTATCGGTCTCGCTCGATCGATCTCACTCGATCGATCTCACAATCGATATCACTCGATCTATCCCATTCGATCGATCTCACAATCGATCTCACAATCGATCTCACACTCGATCACACAACCGGTCTCACATTCGGTCTCAATATCGATCCCACTATCGATATCACAATCGCTTTCTCAATCAACGTCATCATCATCATCAACGACATCATAAACATCAACATCATCACCAACATCGTCAGCATCGTGAGGGCACCGTCATCATCATCATCATAAACATCATCATCAACGTCAGCATCATCATCGGGACAACATCATCATCATCACCATCATCATCTCACCATCAACATCATCATCATTATCATCGGGACACAGTCATCGTCATCATCATCAGCAGCATCATCAGAATCATCATCACAATCGGGACACCATCATGACCACCATCGTTCTCATCATCAACATTATCATCAACATCGTCATCATATTCGGGACACCGTCATCATCATGATCATCGCATCTTCATTTTCGACATCATCATCCTCATCAATAACATCATCATCATTGGGGCACCATCATCATCATGAGCAACATCATCATCATCATCGTCATTATCATTATTATCACCATCGGGACACCATCAACATCATCATCATCATCACCATCATCATCATCAGCATCATCATCGGGACACCATAATCATCATCAACCTCATCATCATCAACATCATTATCGCCGGGACACCATTTCCATCAGCATCATCATCACCAACATCATCATAATCATCATCGTCATCATCGTCATCGGGACACCATCATCGTCATCATCATCAACACAATCATCATGAGCATCATCATCTTCATCATCGGGACGCTATCATCATCATCGACACCATCATCAACATCATCATCATATTCATCGGGACACCATCATCATCATCATCTCATCATCATCATCATCATCACCATCATCATCATCATCATCATCATCATCATCATCATCATCATATCATCATCGTCATCCTCGCGGGACACCGCGGGACACCGGCGGGACACCGCGGGACACCGCGGGACACCGCGGGACACTGCGGGACACCGCGGGACACCGGCGGGACACCGCGGGCCACCGGCCGCCCGGAAGGGAGTCAGTTGGTCCGGCCGCGCCTCAGCCACACGGGACACCAGCGGGACACCGGCGGGATACCGCGGGCCACCGGCCGCCCGGAAGGGAGTCATTTGGTCCGGCCGCGCCTCAGCCACATGAGACTTTTTCTCGCCCGCCCACGCAGCTTCGCCTCGCCCGCATGGCACGCACGAACACGAAACCGAAACCGATTTCCCGGTTGGGGGGCTCTCCGTTCCACTCCGATCTCAACCCCCTCACATCCGATATACACCTTATTTTTATATATATATATATATATATATATATTAGTGGCTTGTGCGCCCGCGGCGGCGCGAAGGTCGGCGGCGGCGGCGCCGTCCTCGTCGGATCAAGTTTGTTGTGTGTTGCGCGTGCGTGAGTGTGTGTGTGTGTGTGTGCTTGGCGGCATGCCTCGTGGGCGAGGCGGCGACGACGCGACGACGACGCTGCTGCACGGGACATATAGCTAGTGGGCACTATGATGGTGCGCGTGTCTTCGTGTCTCCTTACCCGCTAGTGCTGTAGCGCCCCGGTCTGGGTCACGCTGGCACCCTGCCACGTTGGTCACACAGCGGGTTCTTTGCTGATGCGTTTTGGCTTCGTGACCCCCAGCCCGCGATAGCAGCCGCTCACACATGCTCCCACACACTGAGCATGCCCTCCTGGCGGCACGGATTTCAAGCTGTGGCGCCGTCGAAGGCCATTCTGCTGGGGTCACGCACCTTCCGTTGGCAGTGGTGTCTTGCACCGCGTCCTCCATGTCTCCCTCCCGGCGGTACACGCAGGTCTCCATAATTTGGCCTCCCTTTCCGGGACTTGGCTGCACCTGCCCGGTTTCCCTGCATCACGGCTGCTACCTGCCAGCCGTTTTGCCGTCTGCACGCGCGCTTCCCACATGCGATGCGTCTATTCCACACTTCGGACTGCAGACAGTCCCCCTGCACACCCACGAACGATTTCACCGATGGCCCGTCATCCACAGTTTTGGGTGCAAATCGTCCCTGTATGCAGCACCCCTTACAACCTTTCGCGTCAGCGTCGCGACTTCCCAGGCGGAGAACAATTTGTGTGTGTACTGGGCCGTCGCTCGTCTCTTCTTCCCAACCAACCTGTGTTGTTGGGTCCTCGTTTTGAAGAGCCGGTCCCCGCGTTCTCCTCCTATTCCTCCACCTCTTCTCCTCTCCTCCTCCCCCTCCTCCATCCTCCTCCCTCCTCCCTCTCTTCCTTGCGTTTCACCAACCCAATACATCGTTTCGTAGCCCGGAGCTCCACCGAAGGCCCCAGCGCCACCGTCCACATGCGTCCCCCCCACTCAGTACAGCGCTTCGTGGCCCCATAGGGAGCTCCACCGAAGGCCCCATCGCAACCGTCCACATGCGCCCCCCTACTCAGTACACGTTTCGTGGCCCCATAGGGAGCTCCACCGAAGGCCCCAGTGCCACCGTCCACATGCGTCCCCCCCACTCAGTACAGCGCTTCGTGGCCCCATAGGGAGCCCCACCGATGGCCCCAGTGGCACCGTCCACATGCGTTCCCCCCACTCAGCGCAGCGTTTCGCGGCCCCATAGGGAGCTCCACCGAAGGCCCCACTGCCACCGTCCACATGCGTCCCCCCCACTCAATACAGCGCTTCGTGGCCCCATAGGGAGCTCCACCGAAGGCCCCAGTGCCACCGTCCACATGCGTCCCCCCCACTCAGTACAGCGCTTTGTGGCCCCATGGGAAGCTCCACCGAAGGCCCAAGTGCCATTGTCCACATGCGTCCCCCCCACTCAGCGCAGCGTTTCGTGGCCCTATAGGGAGCTCCACCGAAGGCCCCAGTGCGTCCACATGCCCCCACTCAGTACAGCGCTTCGTGGCCCCATAGGGAGCTCCACCGAAGGCCCCGTGCCACCGTCCACATGCGTCCCCCCCTCAGCACAGCGTTTCGTGTCCCCATAGGGAGCTCCACCGAAGGCCCGAGCGCCACCGTCCACATGCGTCCCCCCCACTCAGTACAGCGCTT